CATTTTTATTTCACAGGCCTCTTTGAATTTCACCAAGGCAAATATTTTCAGGCTGAGGTGCCCGTTTTGCATGACAAAAGGCATATGCTGTAGGGATGTTAGCATGAGACTTTCGGTCTGAGTCCCAGCTCCAAGACTGAGTTTTTGGTACCAAGTCCTGACTCCCAAGCCTATTAAAAACAAGCATTTTCCCCCAGAAAAAAAGGGAGCGGTGGGTGGATTCTGAGTTGTGAGTCTAGTCTGAGTCACTGAAAAACAACAACCCTGAGTTGAGTCCAAATTGAGTCACTGGTATGACTTAAGTCCAACTTGACAGGGAGTCCTGCAACTCAAGTCCCCACCCCTGATATGCCATATATTTAGCCAAAAGTCACTGACAATATGATAAACCCATTTGGAAAGGGATGGTTTTGAATAGTCCAACTAGCGTGTCGGATCCAGTCTTTGTCATTGTTGCTATTATATGCCATCAAGTTGCTTTTTGACTTATGGAGATCCTAGTAGGGTTTCTGAGGTATGTGAGATATTCAAAGAGTGGTTTACCACTGCTTCCTCACCTTCCATATATTTCTATGACTAAGCAGAGATTTGAACCAAGGTCTCTTGAGCCCTAGTCTGACGCTGTATGTATCTGCTATACCATACTGTTTCCATTTTAGTCATACTTATTATTAAACTGAACTCAGTAGATCTGCTCTAAATATGAATGAGTCTTGTTTGGCCAAAATATGAATTGGCACGAACCCCATTCCTAATTATAAGGATATGATTGTGCATTACCTGACCCATGATGTTACCTGACCAGAAGGCAAACTTGCACGGAACATCCTCAGGCACCTCATCACCTTTGGCAATTATAGCAGGAGGAACAGAATGCACATCCTGCATGCATTGACAGCCTGAACAACAAACTAGAGGTACTGGGATCTCCCCTGAATTATGAGAATTTGGTGGCCATCATAATGGTATGCTATGCCTTTGCTTTATTGCCTAATGGGCATCTTGTGACCTCATACTTCCCTTCTTATATTTTCCTCTAGTCCCTTCTCTTTGTAACACGAGGTTCTTAGTGTGTATTATACTTCAGTATAGGTCTCAACTGCACTTCCTTTCACTAAATTTTTTTTTTCAAATTTATTTTTTGCTAGCTAGACATGACTAGCAGCTTAATAGCCAAAAACATACAATAGTCTTGTGTCCCGTGCACCCGTTTCTGTGCACACAATACATGCCACAGATGCAGCAACCATCTGTAGCTGGAACTACTGAATGCCTAGATTCCATGTGTTTGAGAGTATCTTACAACTTGGAGCCTCCATCCTTTCTGTCCATGTATAGTTTCTGTGCCTCATGGCTGACACACATGGCCAATTCATATGAGGGAAAAACAGGATTGCTTTCCTGGGAATTAAGTTGTTTGCATGGATATATGAACTGAAATGTAGCTATGATATGGAATGCCATGCTGAGTGTACATATGCATTTGTGAGATTCTCAAGCAACATGTGAGACGGCCATGCTGGAGCTCACCATGGAGATTATGAAGTTGTCTAGATGCCATCTGCTCTATGGAGAGGTATTTGTTGTCTGCTTGGCCGAAACCAATCCCAGTATTATCCAATCAAAGCAGCAGCAGCTCTCCTGATACCTGAGCTTTAAAACAACAACAACCCTGGAGATTTCAGGGACTAATTAAGTGCTATCTTCTGTACACAAAGCATGCACCCTCCCAATATTTTATGGTGTATTCTACTGTAGTCTACAAGGTACAGTAATTAGAACAAGCAAGATTTGGCACAGGATTCTCTGGACTAAAGCATGTGAGCTACAGTCTGTTGTTTTTAGTTGTTAAGTCGTGTCTGACTCTTCATGACTCCATGGACCAAAACATGCCAGGCCCTCCTGATTCCACTGCCTCCTGGAGTTTGGTCAAATTCATGTTGGTTGCTTTGATGATCCTGTCCAACCATCTCATCCTCTGTCGTCCCTTTCGCCTCTTGCCTTCACCCTTTCCCAACATCAGGGGCTTTTCTAGAGAGTCTTCTCTTCTCATGAGATGGCCAAAGTATTGGAGCCTCAGCTTCAGGATCTGTCCGTCCAGTGAGCACTCAGGGTTGATTTCCTTCAGAATGGATAGGTTTGTTCTCCTTACAGTTCAGTGGACTCTCAAGAGCCTCCTCCAGCATGACAATTCAAAAGCATCGATTCTTCTTTATGGTCCAGCTCTCACTTCCATACATCACTACTGGAAAAACCATAGTTTTGACTATGCGGACCTTTGTCGGCAAGGTGATATCTCTGCTTTTTAAGATGCTGCCTAGGTTTGTCATCGCCTTCCTCCCCAGAAGCAGGCATCTTTTAATTTTGTGGCTGCTGTCACCATCTGCAGTGATCATGGAGCCCAAGAAGGTAAAATCTGTCACTGCCTCAATATTTTCCCCTTCTATTTGCCAGGAGATGATGGGACCAGTGGCCATAATCTCAGTTTTTTTGATGTTCAGCTTCAGACCATTTTTGCGCTCTCCTCTTTTACCCTCATTCTTTAATTCCTCCTCACTTTCTGCAATCAGAGTGGTATCATCTGCATATCGGAGGTTGTTATTTCTTTCGGCAATCTTAAATCCGGTTTGGGATTCCTCCAGTCTGGCCTTTCACATGATGTATTCTACATATAAGTTAATCAGTTGTTCCATATCCAGTTCTGTTTCTTCCTGTCCCACAGATAGATTTTTCAGGAGATAGATACGGTGGTCAGGCACTCCCATTTCTTTAAGAACTTGCCAGTTTGTTGTGGTCCACACAGTCAAAGGCTTGTGTGTAGTCAATGAAGCAGATGTTTTTCTGGAATTCTCTGGCTTTCTCCATAATCCAGCACATGTTAGCTACAGTCTACCAAAGTTTATGAGAAATAAAACAGATAGACTTCAGAGTGCCAAAAGAATCTTTATTGTTGTTTAAACTGCATCAGACTAACATGCTTACTCCAAAAAAGGATGCCAAGTGTTCTGTCACTTGTTAACATCACATATGCAATAGTTTGAAAACTGTGGAAGAAGTCTGTTCATCTGAATTATTTTAATTCACAAAAAATAGCACATGCATGTACATACATGGAAGAAAACAGGGCAACTTCCAATTAGTATTTCTGAAATATGAAGCCCCCTGCAACTGGGATATGCAATGTGGTGTAGATAAGAGTGATGGACTAGGATCCAGTAGTCCTGGGTTTAAATCCCTGCTTGGCCATGGAAATTCACAGAGAGGGAGGGGCCAGTAAAACCTTGAAAGTCCTGTTAGGGTCACTGTCAATTCTGACTTGACTGCATGTAACAATACCTGCAATTTGTCAGAGTTAAGAGGGACTATGAGGCTTTTACATTACTGCTGCTTGCAGTTTCTACATCTCAAATATGCAGAAAGGTATTTGCTAAAAACAAAAAACTGTGGGGGAAAAATTAGATGCATACATAACAGGTGGGCAGATATGCTTTGCTGCGTTAGACAACAAGCCATGAGCAGATGTGCCACTGTTTCTGGTTTGATGCCACTCTTAAATCTCTATATACCCTTCCCCAGTGCTTTCCGAAAACATGCTTTTTTTCATCCCAAAGAGAGAACACTGCACTGCTTTAATAACTGTGTGTACAGTAAATGATCCTATTTACACGACAGAATAGATACTGACAGGATTAATAAATCTGGAAATAAAGTACTGTACTGTACTGTATGAGACATTTCAGCAGCCCCACAATCTATCTATCTGGTCACCAAGGATGCATTATTGTTGGTACAAGGGATGGCGTGAGGAACGTTATGCCTGTTCCCAACATAAAATAACAGTACAGCGATTAAAAAGAGGTGTCTGCACTTCTAACAATAGTAGTTCATTTCTATTTTGGTTTCATTTTTTTTTAAAAAAATAAGCATTCCCTTTTATACGGATCCTCCCCGCCACCACGTGGAGATGAGGCGCCATGTGGAGGCAAAGTAGTCTGACGAAGCGGACTTGGTCACGAAAGCTCACCTGAAAATATAATAGTTCGTTGTGAAGGTGCCACACGTTTTTATCTTTCTGTTTTGTTTTGTTCATTGGCTTTTGCCTGATCCAGTTGTGGCAAAAGGAGCCTCCGCCCCCCACCCCACCCCCAACCCTCACGCCCTGCTCTGTTCCTCCAAATAGGCGAGGCTGGGGACTCCCGTTTTGCGAGAGGGTTCCCTGGTCAGTAGGGCGTCGCTGTCCACGCCACTCCCGCCAGCAGGTCCTCTTGCTTGCTTTGGAGAGAAACTGGAGCAACAGCGACGGCGGCGGCGAGGTCCTCGGCTTCCCTCTCTGCGCTGCACGCCCCAGCACGGCCAGCTCGCCTCAGCCCGGT